CCTTTAAAGTTGAGACCCGCTAAACAATTTTACACTTTTTGCAGAGAGAAAAGCACGAGGATTTTGAATCTGCTCCTACTTCAGTATGTAATCGCTCCTGCAAGGAGCTATAGTCGTTGGGATAGTGCTAATGTAGCGAAAAAGTACCTTTCGGCGGTACTCGGGCAAAAATCCTCAACGTGGCCATTTTTTAAATAGTGAACGTATTTAGCAGTTTTAGTTGCCTCTAGAAAGAGCAAATCTTCTAGTTTATGATGACGTATTAACTTTCCAGATTGCATGAGTTTGAACGGAGTTATGGCTTTGGAAAGCGTAAAAACTCGCACTCATCACGAATTTTCCTCGTTAATTTTGCAAAAATCCTCAACGTGGCCATTTTTTGAGTACTGGACGTATGAAGCTGCTTTAGCGACCGTTTGATAGAGAAAATCTTCTAGTTTTGTATGACGTATCAACTTTTTGAATTTGACGGAAATGAAGCAAGTTATTGCTCCGGAAAGTGTAAAAACTCGTGCTCGTCTCGAATTTTCCTCGTTATTTGATCTAAATTTGTTATTTCTTATAACTTCCTGTAATTTCAGTACTGATTAGAAAAAGCTCTTCACAAAACTCCCAAATCAGCTTTCAGATTGAAAATTCGTTAACTTTGAAGAAAGTTATAATCATTTGAATATTTGTTCAAATTTCAATAGTAAATAAGCTGCTCCACGGTCAACGCCAAAGTCCAGTCAACACACAGCTGGCGAAGGCTTTTACAAGGCTTCCTTTGAGCGAAAGGGGACGTGTAAATTGAGAACCATAATCTGTGTAGTACTAGAATTTGGTAAGTCTTGTGGAGGAAATAAACAAAGAAGAGGTGTTGTCATAGTACGCCATTTCTAGTGACTAGTTTGACGTTTTTTGCTCCGTTTCTCGTTTGCTCGTTTGACAGGACTCGTCATTAATGATCATTCTTTGACTTTTTCACTTTTATACTTTTTAAACGAGTTTTTTTGTGGACGATGGGGTAGCAGGGCTTTTTTATGAGCAGTTTTGGTGGAGAATTAAACAACTTTTTCATAGTTCGGCTTTTAAAGGGTTGTTTCATGGACTTCGGCCTTCGGCAGAGGGAGGGGGGGGGGTCGTATTTCCAAATTTTCCTCGACGCCTCGCTTGACCCTGGTCGGAACCTTGGGCTAGCTCCGGTGGCAAACCCGAAATAAAACCGACCACGCTCTATCATACTCAAGGCTCTCGCTTGCGTTACAATAATTTTATGACCTTCTGCTTCTTAGCACATTTATTGCGAATCTAAGCCAAGTGCATCGTTATATCTTGAACTGTTCCCGCTACTTCCAAGTCAGTTTCAAGCTAGAAAAAGAAAATCATGCCAACTTGCTCATTGAATACACCACATTCAGAGCTCTGGAAAAGTTTAATAAAATCTTTTAGAGCAAAGTTGAGCTAAACGTTGGATAGAGTAGAGAAAGCTCCTTCAATACAGTATCCATACCGATGGCAGCTTATCTAGTCTTCAAGTAAAATGAGCATCCAGATTAGGAGTGTCAGAAAACGACAGAACTTTCTGAAACTCCTAATATAATAGAAACAGGCCGCTTCATCGGCAGGTGATCATAGCGAACTGATGTTCGATTGACTAACTTGGTTTACATACTGCCACTGACCATGACGCCTGAAGTGATAACGCTGAGCGATTCCGCCACTGCAGTCTCTCAATTCATGGAAAGTCAGAAAAGAGTTGCTGTGGAACAGTCTGCATTATTGCGAAGGGCGCTCTCCCACTTATTTACTACTGAAATGTGTCTTTGAAAGAACTACTGATGGGTGAAAAAAAAAACAGAAAATAATGACATGTTTGGAAAAACGTGAATGTTTGGTGAATGTTTGCTGTTGTCAGCTGATTGTTTTTGTACACCGCAGTCTGCAGACGTATTAAATTCTACGTATAGCAGCACAGGAATTTCTTGCATGAGTTGTAGGCTATAGCATGGAAGAGCCTTCACTTCCACTGTTTCACTTTTCAGGTGTTTGCTATGACATGCTCTGACCTCCAGCATTTTCAGAGCCCTTCGTCTGTTCAATTCTACAAATGTGCCAGAGCGTATTCGTGAAGCGGTCAACTGCCGCCTCTTTTCGGTCCGTGCAGGCTGTAACATCTACTCAGACTTATGTATGTTCGATAAGTATCCAGTTAATAATACATATTGAAAACATGTTGCCTATTAGGGAGTGGGCTCTAGTTATCCAAGTTTAGGTGTGCATCTTAGAATATCAGTTTATCTAAACCAGTGAGACGACGCAAAAGACTGGCTCGATTTTTACCCTTACCATCAGCACTGGCTCAAAGGCAAAAGTCGGCCTCAATGAGGGATCTATGGCGCTCAAACCCTCGAGGGGCTAGAGATCGCCGGCACTAGGTGGAAACCGCACGCTAGAAGAAAAAAGTTCTCGCATGACGGGGGAAAGAGTAAATCCGGCGTAGAACAAAACTCTACCAACAACCCTCGCCCATAGCTAGGGAAGGGGCGTCTTGGGAGAACGGCCGTACAACATGAGTCTTTTCTGAATGTCAGTCGGTTCTTACTTTCGGTTGCTTACAGGCAATGAACATAGGTTGGCCTTTCACACGTTACCTGCAAGGCCACCGATCCACCTTCGGAGGCTCAGAGCGTCCCGGGACCTCCGAACGAGGCGGGTCACCGCCATTTCCGAAATCCGCGGGCTGCCGGCGTGCTTAAAGCAACAGTTCAGGGAGGGTCCGAAAATTTCAATGCCACTACTACTGAGGGATACACGAGCCCTAGTGAAGAACATATGCAGTGGAAATAATAAACGAACTTACCTCAGAAACTCAAAAACAGGGTGGAAAGTCCCTCAAACATGGGTGTTCTTGGGGATTTCCCCAATCCCGCCCCCTTGCCGGCCGTCATTGGACGCGTCGGCAATCGTGCTCGTTTTGGGACCACAGGGAAAATTGATTGAAAAATGGAGCGCGTTTACAGCGGGCACGTTCAGACAACTCGTCCAACGTGCGTCTTTATCCATTGCTGAGCGGCAGAGGGAGAGTACCTGTCTAAGACCCTCCCCGACGTTTTTTTCCAGTTTTTCATACATTAATCGTCTGGTTTTCATCTACAACTTCATTATTGGTGGTTTTTTTCCCGCGAAACCGTTCCTGAACTGTTGCTTTACGACGTTTTTCAAGGTGGAAAGTTGCTGCAATGTGTGCAGCTACCCACATACAACCTCCAGGCACGGGAATTACTTCTTTAGCGTGTCTGAACCCGACCTTTGCCTTTAAAGCGAAGGAATACGGATAGAGGATGGATTTGAGATCTTTATGGAAGTGGGGAGCTGAATAATGCCCCAGTGAGGGGGGTAGAAATCCGCTCCTTACCCGCTGACCTCTGATAATAGACGAGCTGCAGCCAATTATGAATCCGTTTGCACACCGGTACCCGCTACCATTCCAGTAAAGATCATGCTTTGATTGATCAAATGTTCCACGGCAAAGTTAAAGGGTACGCACTCAAAGTGTAATACCCCATCCAAATGATAGGAGTAATGATGTTGCAAGCACACTAATGGGAGGAAGCACAGGCGGCGCGAGACGAAGTTCGGGAGGAGTGGTCAGCCCCGGGCGTAACTGTAACGCGCCTTCACTCCACTGAGAGGAAACACATCTCTTCTCCTTGGGCCCTGGACTACTGCGTCACTGGGCTCGCCTGTTTGCATGCTTCCACGCTCACTCTATCCTAATCTCTCGCTTTAATGTGGTCTAAAGTTTCTCAAAAGTTTTCTTTTGTTTTGTTTTTTCTCTTGCTGGTGCATCAGTCATCAAGGCAGAAATGGCCGAGTGGTTTTGAGCACATGTATGCAGCACATGTTTGCAGCACACGTATGCATCTCTGGGAGCCGCGAATTCGATTTCTGTCATCTCAAAAATTGTAAAAAATTGTTTGAATATTGCGTCGGGGCCACGTTGAGAGGCCTTCTGATAAATACCCTGATCATAAAAACCAGTTCGAGAAGTCGCAAAAATATCAGTGATCAATTCTCTCACCGGAAGTGGGGCGTAGAACTCTGGCTCAAGTTTTGTGTTCAGTGAGCAAAGGCTACCAAGGAATGAGCGATCTCAGTCAAGGAAGCATTTCTTGTTGAAACCCTGAGCGTAAGGTCTATCTGAGCACTTACGGGAGTGCTGATTCGATGATGCGGAGGACCATCCAAGCACTTTGCGACAACATTATCGAAGGAAGCCAAAGTCACGTTAATTGGAAAAACTGTAATCCAGTGGAAAAGAGCGCATGGGGGCATGGAACCTCGGGATACCTACTTGAGAAGGACTTTTACAGTTCTTTTACAGGCTCACGTTGTGCGAAATGTATACAAAGACCCGTTTATATAAAAATTTAAAAGGGTCAAGGTGTCTTAATGTAATTGCGCTAGGTTGTCTTTCCTACTAGAATTTTCCAGCGAATCTGTACTACTTCTGAAAATATGTCCAGCTATGATTTCGACATTTAAAGGCAGCGATTACGATAAAGAGGGAGCGCATCGGGGAAGCATATGCACCACACGAATCAGTTACTTGGCTGCCAGGGAAGCGAGGTGTAGCGCTTTCACGACGAAAGGTGCGCTGGTTGCTGAGCAGGACTTCGAAAGCACTCCGCCCCCACCGCCCCCTAGTTCAGTGGCACAACTGGAGCATCTCGATTAAAGCGTGATTGGCATGGTGCCACCAAACGCGTTGCGATGAACTCGTTCATACGTCCGCTTTCTGAGCTGTTACCTGTTCATGAGTGAAAACCAACGGCCAAAAAGGGGTCCTTTTTTCTTGACGGATTTTTCTGCTTTTTTCGCCACTGGCGTACCATTGAGCACCCCAACTTCTTTTCCGCACCTCTCTAAGATCTGTCGTAGTCGCTGCCTTTGAACGTTGATTTTCAGTTTTTTATTTTAATTTGAGCCTGTTTCTCATGATAATTTCCTTTCTTCAGCCCTCCAAACGACACTTCTTCGCCTTTTCCTTTCATTCCATCCAGCTTGGCTTCATCTCGGATTAGAAACTGGTATGGGTCTGCGCTTAATATCAAACACGGTTGTTTTTCACTTGCCACGTTAAGTTTTCAACACAACGATCAACGTTGGTGAAGATGAAGCGTTCATCCAAGTCATTAGTCGTTTCATTGTGCAGCGGCTGTTCGCAGATCCGAGGATTTTGAAGAACAAGAAGTATGCCTATGGTAGTGGGAAGTAAGTTTCAGAAAATTCGGTTGTTTCCACACATTGAGCTCGCTATCATGACTTTTACAATCTCTAAGTTTAGCATTGTGGCTTTTTCTCCAGGGTAATGCTCACTGAGAGTGGCCGAGAAGCACTCAACAGCCATTTCCTGACCCAGACGGCTTTGTTTTGTTATTTCGTAGAAACAGCAAAGGCGGCTTCAGTAATCAAGCATAATCCTCGAATGTTCACAAAGAACTCTGCGTTCAAAGTATGTCATTAATGTGATTAACACAGTTGATTCTGTAATGTTACTGTGAACAAGTTTAGTGCTTGGATGATGTGTTTGCGGAACTAAGTCGAGAAGTGTTGTCTGGAGGTGGAGCATCATTGAACAGAGCCTTCACTAAAATGGGTTTCAAACCTACTTACAAGCAGGTCAGTTGCAAGTCGTACCCACTGCGTAAGCAAAATTGGATATCGAAGAAATGGAGATACATCTCCTTGAAGCAGTGATCACGAGCTGGGAAGCTAAAATGAGAGGTATAACACTCCCTTCGCGCGCAAAGGAAAGGCGTTAGATCGTTATATGCTCTTTGTCCAGTATCCAGCTCATTTTCACCTCTCAGTCATCGCGACCGCCGAATTTTTAGGGACATCGGACCTCTAAAGGGATGGAGCGTAACGTCTTCGTGGCTAATCGTAAGGGCGCATCTGCGGCAACTCGTCAGTAGTTGCCTTGATCGCCGGCTAGTTGTGGTGGCTGCTGCCTTCGTGACAGCTCGCGCCTCTAGATGCTGAACTTGGCCTATGATTCAGTGATGGTGATAAGCTGTGGTGAGAGAGAGTAGAGGGCCAGGCATGGTATTTATATCTATCATGTATTCCATCATAGAACTGATCCAGCTCCGCATTTAACGACGAAAAGGGGTCCATTTTGCGGGTTCACGCCCTTTTTTTTCTCCATAATGCACTCACTATTTGTCCCGCCAATTTTTTCCAACGACGATCAGGTTACTGTACTATCTGCCACTAGAGCCATGAGAATGCATTAAGCTCTGATGCAACCGGGCGCTGAGGAAGCGCTCATGTGCGTCTATGCCAAGTAACATACTACATGGGAAGGATGGTAGGTTTGTAGAAGTGGCCGTTTGAGATGGGATGCATACGGCCTCTGATGCGCCTTCTGACGCTGATTCCAAATATGTCTTCCGTATTTGTCAAACCACACTGGGAACAAAACCATGAAGGTTTTGTGCCACATACATGTGATTGCCTAGCAGTTAAAGGAATCTTCCACGGAAAAAGCTCCGCCCTCATTACCACAGAAAACGATACCTTAAAGGAATCTTCCACGGAAAGAGTGATCATTTTGTCTTGTGTGTAGGATTAGTATTATCGAAACTAACGCTTATGTTCCGTTCTTTTTGCTATGCTCATGAGGCTAGGGGCCTAAGGTATCGTTTTTCTGTGGTAATGGAGGCGGAGCTTTTTCCGCGGAAGATTCCTTTAAGGACGGATTTGTAGGATCCATGTTGGGTATCGATCCGCTTGTGTGTTTCTCTTTGCATTTATCGTTGTTAACAGCAAGCAGATTATCTCAAACCCACTGCCATTGCTTATCTGCTGTCTGGTTTTTGATGAGTTCTCTTTAATTATCAGGCTCTTTGCCGCACCTGGCGTACGAGGCCGCAAAGGTGAGGCCCTCACGCTAGGCAAAGGGATGTCCGTGTTCAGAAGACCAAACTACCCCTTCGAATAAATTTCCAGACTATTTGATATTTTGGACCTTTACGCCAGCGAACTGGGAGTAAGCATTACCCACGTACGCCCCTATAGCCGCTGTGTCGCGAACGGTGTGTATGCTCCCCGACACTCGACCTCCCGCCGAGCTGCCCATCAGCCCACCACGCTGCCTCCTGAGCGCCCACCAGGAGGAGCGGACCCAACTTCCCCCCGGGGACACAGGGGGCGCCCGTCGGCAGCTCAACCTACTCACTAGTGGCCGACGGGCTAACCTAGGTAAACAGCCCTACTAAACCCGAGTGACACACAACAGACCGATATAATTAGGGTAAACCCACATATAATACATAGAAAACACAATTATATTTACTAACATTTATTATGACGTAGTAACTCACCATACTCCTCGAACTCCCGGGGGTCACCTCTCTCAGAGGTGAGCCCCACCAGCTGACTCGACGTATTAGACCCCCACGTTGGCTCGGCTTCTTCTGGGGGCTCCATGCGGCCGACGTGTCCTATCTGGGATGTTGTAAGGGCTGCTCCCAGACGGGGAGCAGGGGAAGGACACGACCGGCTTTGGGATGACAGGCGCTCCGCCAACATGGACTACGGAGCGACGTGCCCCTTCGCCTTAGCTGGCCTCATCGCGTTGCCCGGTGAACACCGACCTGCCACCGGTGGCCAGCTCCTACGAGCACCGCCGCTAGGACGGTGCGCGTAGCGCCGACTAACTGGCCTCGACCGCAGGGAGGCGGGGCCAATGGCGCTGGAGCGCGTTGGCAACCGAGCGCAAGTGGGCCGGGGCGCGCGGTGCGCCCAGCGGGCCACCGTCGCATCCGCGACACTCCCGAGACAAGCGAAGCCGCCCGGGGGAGGGGCGCGGGGGACCACGGTGCCCCACCAGGGGAGATAAACACCGAACACCCAGATTTGAGGCCAGTTAGATAGATAGTCCCTAGGACAGCTGGCGGAAACTACACCTTTCACAACTTGCCTACCTACAGGTGACCCCTTACTACAACACCTACTTAGTGAGAACGTAGTAGACAATGCTGGGTGCCTTAAGGGCTTTCCCATAAAGAATCATCGTCATAAACATACTTCATGAAACAAAGGTGCCTTAAGGGCCACCGAAAAGGCAAGGGGACACCTTAAGGGTGTCCAAGAAACAACCATAATATACAACGATGAAAGAAACGTACTAAAACCCCACAGCGAGATACATACAACACTAGAGCGCCTTAAGGGCCGCTCGAAAAACTCATCATACTGGGAGCGCCTTAAGGGCCACTCCAAAACGACAATACCAGGAGTGCCTTAAGGGCAACTCCGAAAAACAACAATAGAGAGAGCGCCATAAGGGCCACTCCAAAAACATGACATCGGAGGAGGTGCCTTAAGGGCAACCTCAAAATCCATGACTGTAGTAGTGTCGCTGTAACTCGCCGCTGACTTTACTTCCATTGCCAACTTCCATCCAACTAACGATCCACTCCACCGACGTGATCAGGGCGACTGATGTTGTTGTCGCAAGTGACCACGTCGCTCGCACCACACTTCCAACGCCGAACTCGATCCTCGACCACCGACTACCAACTTCCTCGAACCACCATCGAACCACTCGATCTCGTCCGGCTCGCCACTCGTCGCTTGCTGGAGGGATCGCCACCACCACATTACCTAAATCTTTGAGTAAAGGGGGTGTGCCAAACGCAGTAAAACACCGACATAATTACACAGTCATAAGTAAGTGGGGAACAAACTTACCTGTTATAACCTGCCTGTGTACGTAGTAGACACAGGCGCAGTTGCATCGACCTAAACTTCCTGAAACTTAAACTTACCTGCTACAACTTACCTGTGTATTTCTTAGCATTGATGTAAACTATCATCTTTTTTAAACTTACCTGTTTACTTTTCCGCCTGTAACAAACTTACCTGATAGTTTACCCCATGCACGTATTAGCCAGGGATAAGACCACTCTGGCAACGAATTAACTTTTATTATCTTTATTTCCCCCCGCCGTATTAGTGAGGAATTGCTACTACTCACAACGAATTAACGGGGAAATGACTACTACCCGTACGGAATAGTGGGGAAATGGCTACTACCCACAACGGATTAGTGGGGAATTGACTACTACCCACAACGCAGTATGAGATCTCTGATCTCAACGTCTTCCCTTTGAAACCGAGGACTCTCGGTCGCTGGGATACGTACTACCCGAACCTGGATGCCTGTGCCTCGAACGTCCTGGTCTGGCTCTTGGCCGCCGTTCCTGATGAGGCTGGCGTTGTTCCTGGTTCGGAGGGATATCTTGATATGAGGCATCTGCGATGTTTCTATAGAATCGCTGAGCCATCATAGCGATATCGTTAACGACAAATGGGTTGTTTACGCAGAGAGCCTGATGGTGACTTCGCTCCCTGCATATACCACACCCATCTGCTCGAATGCAGTCTCCGAAATGATTTCGAAGACAGATCGTGCAGTGACGTTGTGAAACGAGAAGGTTTGCCCTCACTGTGAGATGTCTGTAAACGTCACACTCAGCTGAGTAGTGACCCTTCGACGAACAGAAAACGCATGGTGGCTGACCAGGCAGCGGAACCTTTTGTGGTGGTACCGGTGGTAAGCCTCGTCTTCTGAGCGTCTGAGCGGGGGAACCTCCATACGAAGTACTCGAGCACGATTGTGAAGATTGAGTCTCTTCAAATCGGGCTCTGCGCGAGTCATCTCGCCAATCTCGACTCTGTCCATGGCTCCTCTTCCTGTCCTGGCTCCGACCGCGGGCCTGGATACTGGACCCTTGGGGTCCAGCCTCCCGACTTTGAGAAGAAGCTGTGGCCGGGGGAGGTGCTGGGGTCGGAGAT